AAACTTGTTATTTAAGCTATTAATAAAGAAGCATACATACTATTCCACCACAATTTTCAAAAAGAGTCTGATAATAGTACTTCAGTATAACTGTCATCTTAGGTATCAAAAGCATTTAAAAGTATGATTCTGAAGGGCTAATGAGCTTTGCCAGATGGACAAAGGGGTCCCTGGCACAAAAGAGGTCAAGAAGCCCTATCAGGACAAGAAGAGGCGAGATTGATTAGGACAGGAAGAACCAAGTCAAAGGAGCAAGGCAGGGTGCAGGGACTGGGCTCCGGCTCTGGCACAAAGTTGGATAGGGCAAGGAGAAGCATGACCCAATCTGAGAGAGCCAGGCAAACCAGAGAGGTGCAGAAGAGCAAACAACCTGGAAGAGGGCCGCCCCTGGCAGCACAAGGAAGCACGACTAAGGCAGCCCAGAGGGAAATCTCCCTGCCCTTTAAGGGGCCCTGTGGTCACTTTTTGAAGCTCCAACTTTGACTTAGGTCAGCTCTGGTTGAATCGTGGTAAACCTCAGTTTCTCCATCTGTAAAATGGTAATAATAATACTTGCCTCAACATTTTGTTAATTTATTAATAAATATGTTGAACAAAGAAAGCAGTGTTCTCTTGCCTTCAGCGATTATAATTAGAGGACACTTGGAATGTTTGTAAAAATTTAGGCAGTTGGTGAAATGAATTTGGTTAAGGGGTCTATAAAATGCCTCTTGAAAGCTTCCACATCTAATTCAGCATCTCAAACAAGAAATTCAAACCTGAACCTGCAAAGAACTATATAATCCAAAAATTCTTTAATTTTCAAATATTTTCCTCTGATAAATAGTGCTAAACTCATCAGACTGAGATTTTCATGATAAAAAATCTTGATTGTGGCGTAGCCCTATCTCATTGTGGTTTTAGTTTGCACGTCCCTAATGGTTAATGATGTTGAATTTTTTGCATGTGCCATCAGTATATCCTCTTTGGTGAAATGTCTCATGTCTTTTGCCCATTTTCTAGTTGAATTTTTTTTTTTTTTTTTTTTTTTTTTTACTGTTCACTTCTGAGAGTTCTTTATTCTAGATACTAGTTCTTTATCACATATATAGTTTGCAGATATTTTCTTCCAGTCTGTAGCTTGTCTTTTTATCCACTTCACAAGGTCTTTTGCAGAGCAAAAGTTTTTAATTTTGATGAAGTTCAATTTATCTTTTCATAGATCATGCTTTTGGTATCAAATCTAAGAACTCTTTGCTTAGCTCTAGATCCTGAAGATTTTCTCCTGTTTTTTTTTCCCTAAATGTTTTATAGTTTTATGTTTTACATTTAGGTTTGTAATCCATTCTGAGTTAATTTTTTGTGTGTAAGACTTAAATTGAGGGTTTAGGGGTCTTGTTTTGTTTTTATTCATTTGTTCGTTTCCTGTGGACGACCGATGACTCCAGCACTATTCATTGGAAAGGCTATCCTTCCACTGATTTACTTTTGTACCTTTCTCCGCAATCAGTTGAGCACATTTGTGTGGGTCTGTTTCTGGGTGTTTTATTCTGTTCCATTGAACTCTGTGTCTTTCCCTCTGCCAGCACCACTTTGTTTTGATAGTGTGGTCTTGAAATCAGGTAGACTGATTTTCCCCACTTTATTCTTCTTTTTCCGAAATTGTTTTAGCTATTCTAGTTTGTTCTTCCATATAATTTTTAGAATAATCTTGTTCATATGTACAAAAAACCTGTCTGGGATTTTGGTAAGAACTGTTTAAGTTGTATATCAATTTAGGGGAGAACTGATATCTTAGGTATGTTGAGTCTTCCAATCCATGAACATGCTATGTCTTTCCACTTATTTAGATCTTTGATTTCTTTCGTCAACATTCTGTAGTTTTTAGCATAGAAATCCTCCAAGTTTTATTAGATTTATATCTATTTCATATTTTTGAGTGATTATAAGTGGTATTGTATTTCTAATTTTAATGTCCAAGTGTTCATTGCTAGTATATAGAAGTATAATTGATTTTTGTATGTTTCATTTGACTTTGCAGAACCTCACTTATTAGTTCTATGAAATTTGGGGGGTTTTTTCCTTGTAGGTTCCTTGGGATTTTCTATGTAGACAGTCATTTCATCTGCAAATGGTGACAGTTTTATTTCTTCCTTTCTGATCTGTGCACCTTTTATTTTCTTTTTGTGTCTTATTACACTGGTTAGAACTTCCAGCATTATGTTGAATAAGAAGGGTAAGAGTGGACATCCTTGCCTTGTTCTGACCTCAGAAGGAAAGCATTCAGTGTTTTACCGTTACATATAATGCTAGCTATTGGGTCTTGTAGATGCCCCTTATCAAGTTGAAGTTTCCCTCCACTTCTATTTTTCTGAAGCTTTTTTCCATGAATGGTTGTTGAATTTTTTTTCAAATGCTTTTTCTGCATTAATTGGTGTGATCATGTGAGTTTTCTTTTTTAGCATGGCAATATGTTGAATTACATTGATTTTACAATATTGAACCAGCCTTACATCCTTAGAATAAACCCCTCTGGTTCATGGCACATAATTCTCCTTACATATTGCTGAATTCTATTTGCTAATATTTTGTGAAGGATCTGTGTGTGTGTGTATTCATGAGGGATGTTGGTCTGTGGTGTTCTTTTTTATTTGTATGGTTTTTGTATTAGAGCAATGTTAGATTCATAAGAAGAACAGAGAAGTATTCCCGCCTCTTCTATTTTCTAGAAAAGATTGTGTAGAATTGGTGTGAATTATTCTTTAAATACTTAATAGAATTCTCCAGTGAAATCATTTGGGCCTGGAGATTTCATTGTTGGGAGATTTAAAATTACAAATTCAACTTTTTAAATAGTTACAGAGCATTCAAATGATCTATTTTATATTGCGTGAGTTGCGGTAGTTCGCATTTTTTGAGGAATTGGTCCATTTCATTTAAGTTATCAAATGTATGCGTGTAAAGTTGTTTGTAGTGTTCCCTTATTATCTTTTTTATGTCTGCAGAAGCTGTAGTAATATTCTGTTTCATTCCTATATTGGTAATTTGTATCTCCTCTCCCTCTCTCTCTGTAAGTCTTGCTAGAGGTTTGTTCATTTTAAAAAATCTTCTCAAAGAACCGGTTCTTTCTTTAGTTGCTTTTCTCTATTGTTTTTCTGTTCTCTATTTTACTGATTTTTGCTCTTTATTATTTCCTCCCTTCTGCTTGCGATGGGCTTATTTTTCTCTTCCTTTTCTAGGTTCTTGAGGTGAGAGCTTAGGTTATTAATTGGAGAGTTTTCCTCTTTTCTAATGTTTGCATTTAGAACTATAAATTTCTTTCAACACTGTTTCACTCTGTCCCACATATTTTGGTATGTGTATTTTCATTTTCCTTTAGTTCAATACATTCTTTTGTTTCCCTTGAGACTTCCTCTTTGACTCATGTTATTTAGAAGTGTGTTGCTTACTTTTAAGTGTTTGGAGATATTGCTGTCATCTTTCAGTTACTGATCTCTAGTTTGATTCCTTTGTGGTCAGAGAACACACTCTGAATGATTTTTAATGTTTAAAAATTGGTTGGAGGGCTTCCCTGGTGGCGCAGTGGTTGGGAGTCCGCCTGCCGATGCAGGGGACGCGGGTTCGTGCCCCGGTCCGGGAGGATCCCACATGCCGCGGAACGGCTGGGCCCGTGAGCTGTGGCCGCTGAGCCTGCGTGTCCGGAGCCTGTGCTCCGCAACTGGGGAGGCCACAGCAGTGGGAGGCCTGTGTACCACAAAACAAAACAAAAAATTGGTTGGAGTGTGTTTTACAGCCAGGATATGGTCTATTTCGATATATTTCCCATGGGCATTTGAAAAAAATGTGCATTCTGCTGTTGTTGGCTGGAGCGTTCTATAAATGCTGATTAGATCCCAGTTGTCCTATTGATTGTTGACAGCGAAGTCTTTAACTGTGCATTTGTCTATTTCTTTTTTGGCATTTGTCTATTTCAGCTCTTGTTGAATATATTTTGTAGCTCTGTTGTTTGATGCACGCACATTTAGGATTGCAGTGTCTTCTTGGTGGATTGACCTTTTGCCATATTCTGCTCTCTCTCTGGTCATTTTCTTTGCTCTGAAATCTACTTCATCTGATGTTAATATAGCCACTCCTGCTTCCTTTTGATTGTTTGCATGATATATATTTTTCCATCATTTTACTTTCAATCTGCCTGTATTGTTATATTTGAAGTGAGTTTCTTACAGACAACATAGAGTTAGGTCATATTCTTTAACCCATGCTGCAATCTATGTTTTAGTTGGTAGATTTAAATGTAAATTTAGACCATTTACATTCAATTTAATCATTGATATGTTAGGGCTTAACATATCGTTTTTATTTGCCGGTTTTTGTTTGTTCTTTGTTTTTAATTTCTTTTTCCTGCCTTTTAGTGAGTTACCTGAACTTTTAAGAGTAATTCCATTTTGATTTTTCTATAGTATTTTTGATGTCTCTCTGTATAGCTCTTTTAGTGGTTGCTTTAGGTATTAAACTTTATATTTACATAATATTAGATTCAACTGGTGTTATAGTTTTATCTGTTTAAGTGGAGTAAACTTATCATCCTCTGATTCCCTTTACCCTCTCTCATTTATAATATAATTTTCTTAAACATTTCCTCTACATACATTTAGACATAGGCATGCCTTGTTTTACTGCACTTCAGATACTGCATTTTTTAAAAAATTGAAGGTTTGTGGCAACCCTGTGTTGTCAGATCATGGTTAGCATTTTTTAGCAATAAAGTTTTTTTTTTCCAGTTCAAACTCAATATATTTTGCCAATTAACTTTCCCCCTTACATCACCTAGACCCACATGCAGAGGAGGTAAGAAGTAAGGTCAGCACCTAAATATCCACTTCTCTTAAATGTTGTTCCTTGTGGTATTCCTGTTTTCTCCTTCTTTGGGATTCTTAGAGCTATTACTGTCCACATTCTTCTGAGAAGGGGAAATACCAGCAATAAAGTATTTTTAAATTAAGGTGTGTACACCTTTTTTAAGACATAACGCTATTGCACACTTAACAGATTACAGTATAGTGTAAACATAACTTTTATATGCACTGGGAAGCCAAAAAAGTTATGACTCATTTTATTGCAATGCAAACTTTATTGCAGTAGTCTGGAACCAAACCTGCAGTATCGCCAAGGTATGCCTGGGTGAGCAGGCATGGGTGAGAGGGCACTGTTTTTTGTTTGTTTCATGTATGGTGTTTGGCTGGAGTAGAGCAGTTACTGTCAAAAGTTTTTCTTTCTTGCCAGGCTGTCCCTTTCCTGGTCCTTTAGTTAGAGAGAGCAGGCTTTTGTTGGGGCTTTATTCTTGGTCTGAATCCCTTAGCATTTCTGGGCCACTGGTTTCTTCAGCTCAAATTCTACGATATGGAGGCAAAACAAAACAAAACAAAAAAACCCAGGTACCTTGTCCCCATGCTGCTTGTTGGGTCTCATGGTTCCTAGTCACTGTGTCTTCTTTCCACATTTCAGAGTCTTCTTATACTTGTTTTATATATAATGTCCAGGGTTCCTAGTTGTACTTCGTGGGAGAAAGAGGGGAAAGTACCTCTACTCCATCTTCCTTGAAGCAGCAGTCCTGATGCATTCTTAAAAAGCTGGTCTATGGTTCCACTTTCACAAAAACATTTCCCTGTGAAATAGGGGCAGCATCTCAGTGTCCTTCAAAAGAAATGGAAAACAAGCTCGCAGTAGGAGACAAGATGATTAGCAAGGTTTAGACCATCCCAACCCGCCTGCCAAGACGTTACACCACTAGCAAAAAGCTAAGTCTCTTTGCTAGAAGTGCCTCAAGAAAATGAGATAATGTGAACATTGGTGATTTCATCCATTGCCCATACAGACGTCACTTGTCTGGGATCTGCACGGCTATAATCTGCTTCCCCTGACTTCAGCAACTACCCACACCTTCTCCAGTGTCCCCAAACCTCTCAGAGACTCCATTCTCTTCCTTCAGTGATCTCACCTCCTTTTCCCAGGTGAACACACACCCTGAGACCGGAAGTCCCTCAACTTTCAGTCCTCAACTCCCACTACCCATGGCTGCTACGGCCACTTTGTGCGAATTAGAAAGAAGCACTCTTTCCTTAATAGTCACAGTTACCATGCAAAATCAGGATGACCTTGCAGTCAGTAGTACCTTCTGGCTTTATGAAATGCGTAGCTTGCTCAACAGCACAAATCCTGCAAATCTCCGTGTGCCTGCTGCCTTCCATCTTCCTTTCCCGGTTACTGCCTGAGATCAGCCCCTCCACTTGTGCTCTGCGTACCCCCTTCTCCTCGCATCCTGCCTCATAAACTACTCTTGGGAGTGGGTCAGGTTGGCCATGTGATCATCACCACCTAAAGTTCCTGGTTCCTTCTCATTGTCAGCAAAAAAACTAATCAACTGTCAACCTTAGAAAGAAACGGAAACATTTATTTGAGCCAACCTGAGGATTACAGCCCGGGAGACAGTCTTTGAGAAAGCTCTGAGGGCTGTTCCAAAGAGGTAAGTGGGGAGGCCAGTATATACGTGATTTTGGTGAAGGGCATACACGCAGTCAAACACACATCTTAGTAGAAGGTTACTGCTAGTTGTGAAGAACAGATATCACAGCTAATGGTTTTAGTGCTTTTCTAAGTATGGGAAGATCTAAGAAACTGTGTTCATAAAATTTTCTCATGAAAATATCTAGCTATCTGAGGGCCAATTCCGCCAGTTTTCCCAGAGCACAGAATGCCTCATCCTGACCTTTGCCCTGAATTCCTTCCAGGGTGTATTGTAGGTCAGTGACTGCAGTGGCTATAACTTGATTCTTGTAGGACTTGATGGTGGGAAACACTCTTTTACAATCCCCTCCTTTTCAGTCTTAATTTCGACCAAGGTTTGGGTGGCATGTTGTGACCAATTTGTCCCACAGATTGTGACCAATTTGTCCCACAGAGCTAGGAATGCTCACACCCAGGTCAGGCAAGGATTTCATTGAGAGGCTGCTCAATGGGCTATTACTGGACTAGGACCTATTGACCGTAGCCAAAAGCCTCTAGACCACCTGTCTTACTAGTCGGTCATGGTTCCCTCTTCTTGCTTGGTCCCATATCTAGAGTTACACATTACGATCACTGACCTTATAGGACTATATACTTGGCCAATTGTTTCAAGTTGCCTAGTCATTATTATTTTTATCAGAGGTTCAGTCATGTATTTGGTAATGCATGAAACAATAATCTTGTAAAATAGGCAGAATGCAAGTAATATACCTAATAATATTAATAAGGTCATAGGTAAGTAATGTTATCTTCTGAAGAGTCACACAGCTGGTGCCAGAAGAAGAAAAACTGAACTTTATGGTTGAGCAGCTATTTCTGCCATCGGGGAGGTGTGCTTAATGCCTAACGCAGACGCACAATGCACACTAGCTGGGAGGAAGAAGGCCCAAGTGGGGAGAAAAAAATTCATTAAAATTTTTCTTACCTTGGCTTAAAATATGAATTTTATTTCATCATCATCAAAATTTAAACAAGCGTACGTCTCTCCAATCTTAAGAGAGAGAGAGAGAGAGAGGAAAAAAACATTAACGTCCTTCCTCCAGTATCCTTCTCATTTCTTCAAGGGCAACTTCTTGGAAGGCCTGTCTGTGCTGTTTGTCTCCATTTGCTCACCATCACCCTCACCCCTCAACTCACTCTAAACCGGTCTCCTCCCACCACCCCAATGAAGCTGCTCTAGCTAATGGCAATGCCTGTTTAGTCATAGCATCTCTCAATCTTCATCTCACTAACTTCTCGAGAAAAATGGCCCAGTCTACTACACTTCTTTGAAGCGCTCTTCTCTTGCTTCTGCAATATCATATTCCCTGGGTTTTTCTCCTAAGGCTACCTGATCCTCCTCTTCTTCTCCTTTATTTTTTTTGCGGTATGCGGGCCTCTCACTGTTGTGGCCTCTCCCGTTGCAGAGCACAGGCTCCGGACGCGCAGGCTCAGCGGCCATGGCTCACGGGCCCAGCCTTTCCACAGCATGTGGGATCTTCCCGGACGGGGGAACGAACCCGCGTCCCCTGCATCGGCAGGCGGACTCTCAACCACTGCGCCACCAGGGAAGCCCCTTCTTCTCCTTTAAGTAGAGAAGCTCTTGGGGGGGAAGGCTGGGCCTCTTTCCCAAATAGTATTTTCTCCACCAGGCAATCTCTTCCATGCTGCTGCTCCATCCCTACCCCCATACACAACCTAAGACACAGACTTCCAGCTCAGGTCTCTTGTCTAGAAGATGCAACCAGGCACACCCCACGGCTGCTGAGCTTCTGCACTAGTGGGTCCCACAGGCTCAACACGTCTAAAACCAAACTATTCCCACAAATCTGCTTCTCCTCCTGTGTCCCCTTCCTGTGTGTGTAACTCCAATATTCACCCAGCTATCAGCCCAGAAGCCTGGCAGTCACCCAACTCTCCACATTCCACACATCCAATCCACCACTGCCACCGCATACGTCCCAACCACCTCAACAAACTTCCCTCCCTGTATTCTCTACGCTGTGGCCCTAGCCCAAGTAACCAAAGTCCAAAGAGCCTCCAAAGATGCCCCTAGACCAACTGGGGCCTCGTGCTTCCAACCCTCCGCAGGCACCACGTGGGTAGTCCTTCCGTGTCTGTCTTAGGAGTTTTGTCAGGAAGGAAAGCATCCTGTGGGTCCTGTTCACTGGGCTCTGCAGCACAGCACACTGCCCTGCACCCAGTGAGGTCTGTAAATACTCGTTAGAACGACAGAACGAGAGAATGAGCGTGAGAGGCAGCGCTGCCCCCTCTTCCCTGCAGCAGGAGCTCAGTACCACTCGGCAATCCCATCCGCCACACGCAACGTGGCAGCGACCGAGCCCCGCGCCCGACTTCCGTTTCCGGTGCTGAGCCGGTACCGTTGACTCTCCGGTTGCCCGGGAGCCCCTCGGAAACTAACAATGCGAGGGGTCTCTGTTCCTTTTCTCTTCTATTCTCGCCTAAGCTCCAGCTCTGCCTGACCCAGCGGCCAGCAGCCTGTCGGTGAGAGGAGGGGCCGAGGGGAGGGAGGAGAGGGGAGGGACGGAGGCGGGGGGAGCTGGCCGGGAGACAAGTCAAGTATGAGTAAGTTGAAAACTGACCCCGGCACAGGTTATTATCGGGCTGTTGGAAGTGGCTGATGCAATATGCGGGCAGACACAATGATGCTTAGTAACCAGGACTTATCTCCATAAAACGTGTGCGTACACAGGCCTTAGCAACCTGAAAACCATTTTCTTCTCCTTTAAGATTTATTCGTGAAACGAGCCAGCCACCACTCACACCTGCTGGTAAACTTTCCTCCTGTTTCTGGGGCCATGTCCAGCAAGAGAAGGGGTCCGTATTGGTTTTCATTAGTGGCCGGCACCGTTCTTCACTTTTCTCACCCTTTGTTGAAATGGCAGTGAAAACCCAAGGGGAGGAAGCACTGTAAAGGGGGCTGAAAAGACTGCAGGAGACCAGAGCCACTGACTTTTATTTTTAAAATGATGTCTTTTACTTGAAGAAACATAAGGATTTTGGCTCCTGAGAGATGCTGTGGGACTTGAAAGCAGTAGGCATTTTGCTATAGATGATAAGAAAGATGGTCACCAAATGAATATCCCCCGACTTGCAGATCTAGTGAACAGAGCCATGATCCATCGTCCTCAGCAATGACCTTGACACATTGGAACGGGCTGCAAAATTCACCCTTTCTCAATTACTCATCACATCCCCACATTCAGTTTTGCTTAGTTGTTTTATGTGGTTCGTGGCCTGATCGTTTGTTTGTTTGTTTGTTTTGTCAGGGTACAGCAGAAGCTCCCAAGTAGCTGAGAAGTTCGTGGAATCTTCCTATTGGTACAACTTTCGCTATTGCTTGTGTTATAGTGTGGGGTAAGGGTGAGCAGACATTTCTCAAGCGCACTGTTCACGTACACAGCACGCTGAGACTTGACTTTAGAAAGTCAAGAGAAGTAGGTTTGAACAATTGATGAATGTAAATAGAAAGGACATTTCGTTTGATAGCAGGAATATAGCTTTTGCGCTAATAAAGTGCTTTCAAAATTAGTGTGCAATTTTTAGTAATTAGCATGTCATTTTAGTTATCAATTGGTTCATAACAAACAGACTAATTAGGTACCCCACTCAGTCATTTATCTAAATGAAAAGTGCTGCTATATCGTATTTGTGGGCATTGATCAAAGCTATGGGAAAAAGAGATTAAGAGGAAAATCATGGGATTAAATTTTTAACTAGTTTGCCCCCTGAACAATTGCTTGCTGTGACACCATGATTGATTGGCTGCTTACGCCTGCCCAGGAAGGATGTGGCTCTGCTACCAAATCTCTGAACAGAAAAGTGTTTTACAAAAGACTGAATATTTTATTCAGTTATGTTTCACTTTATTCCTGCTTAACAAGCAGTTGAAAAGGAAGGCAACGTTTGGGATCTCATAGTCCTGTGTCTGGTGATAAATATAAAGTAGGAGATGGAAGCTTCAGTTAGTTCATTAATATCAAAAACTTAATGTGTCTAAAATAAAACCCTCCATTTCCATTTTCCACCCTCTTCCCCTCCCAGAGTTCCTTATTTTAACCACTGGTAACACCACACATCAATGTGCTCAAGGCGAAAACCCAAGAATAATCTTGAATCCCTCTTCCTCTCATTCCACACAGCTTGTCCATCAACAAGTTCAATCAGCTTTTCTTCCAAAACATATCCCAAAACCATCTGCTGTTCACATCTCTACCTTCTAACCCAGGCACCATCACCCTTTACCTGGTTAACTGCAAGCCCCCTTAATCTGGTCTCCCTGTTTCTAATCTCATGACTCATTTCCTCCAACGCTCGCCCCTCCCCAGTCCATCCTCCACCTAACAGCCAAAATGTTTGTTTAAAACATATATTAGATTCTGTAACTTCTCTACCTAGAACCACCCATTATTGTCTTCCCACACTAATTGCTGAGCCCTGTAAGACCCTACCTGATCTGGATTCGTCTGTGACCATTCTCCACCTCTCCACTCACTGTGATCCACCACACTGTCTGTCTTTCTTCAGTCTGCCAAGTTTGGGCCTGCCGTAGGGCCCTTGCACTAGTTATTCCCTTTGCCTGGAACCCCAGGTGTCTACAGAGCTGAATCTCTCAGCTTAAATGCTCCCTCCTCAAATAGGCCTTCCTTCACCACCCAAACTAGTCTCCTATTACTTCCTATCACATCATCCTGATTCACTTTTATCCCAACACTCCTCATGATGGCTATCTTCTTGTATCTTTCGTCCATTGTTTATTGACTAACTCCTGCTACTAATGTGTAAACTTAATGGAGGTAAAGATCTGGTCTTTCTTGTGTAATAGTCTATCTCCAGGGCCCCAAATAGTCTCCAATACATGAATGAAAGAATATATGAATGGATTCTGTTGGCACCAAGCTGTTACCATCTCATCATAGGAAGGCTGGGAAAGGTCAGGGGACCAAACACCACTTAGAGTAGACCTTAAGACGCGAGACGGGCAAGGACACAGAATGGAGAGAGGCAAGAGGAACATTGTCCGAGGTGGGGAGGGCAGGGGATCAGTGAAGGAACATGGAAATGATAGAGTGCAGCTCTTCAGATATAGCCTAGAAATCCTAAAATGTGCGTGTGCCTACACACACATAGCCACACACGGTCCAGCTTGAAGAACAGCGGCTCTCAGCATCTGCTATGTTGTACCTGTATCTTCCAGAACATTTTCCTGCTAGAGATGCTTAGACTACAGTGTCTAAAGAGTCTGAATCAGAGGTCTAGGTGGGGCCCACATGTCTGCTGCTGTGTAATGCTTGTAAGCTGGTCTCCTTCTTGGTCGGGACAATAAGGCTGCAGTAAATACTAGCAGCTTGGAGAAGGCAACGTGCCATCCTGCAGCGGTTCTATTAAACCACCCCGTCGGGTGAACCTGAGCAGCTTTCCCTCCATGGACCCCAGTTTTCCTCAAATATAAAATGAAAGCCTTAGTTGGACTCCTGTGTAACTTTACGACTTAACTGAAATTAAGTATGTGGGGTCCCCTCCTCCCTGAGGAGCAAGGGGGGCTACTTCTTAGAAAACCTCGAACCGAAGGCTACATCCTAATTTGGTGATTCCACCTAAATGACATATTTTGTCTAAGAAGCACTTTACCACATTATTCCGTCTAATATTTATATCGAGAACTGATGAAAATGTCAGGAGCAAATTATGCTGCTATGAAACTATGTGGAGATGGCACAGATTGATTCTCTGACTCAGGTGGATGGGAGGGGCTGGGGATGAAGGAGAGAAAGGGACTATCACTGGCACTCAGGTTTAAAAAAATGAGGAAAAAATGGAGCTTAGACTTCAATCCTTTGATAAAACTTTCTCACCTCCAGCTGGTCACCCAATTCTTGGGATTAGCCTTCTCTCTTCCATTCACCCCTCGGTTGAACCTCTTGTCAGTCCTTTTCCCCTTCAAGGCTGCCCTCAACATTAAAAAACAAAAAACAAAAAAAAAACTGACCTGCAAACTTTATTCAGATCCAATCAAGGGTCCCACATTGCATTTCATTTTCCACGTCTCCTATTTTCCAACCTGCGCCAATTCCTCTTTATTTCGTTGTCTTTCATCACCTTGACACTTTTGAAGAGTTCTTGTCCATTATTTTGTAGACTGTCCCTCAATTTGGACTTGCCTGATGTTTTCTCATGATTAGACTGGGGTTTTGAAGTTTCTGCAAGAAACCTTCATAGCAGTGCTGTGTCCTTCTCAGTGTACAATATCGGGGTCCATGCTGCCAGTATGTTTCTTTACTGGTGATAACCTTGATCACTTGGTTTAGGTGGTGTCTGTCAGGTCTTTCACTGTAAAGTGGAGAATTCCATTTGTAATTAATATATTTGGAGGGGGGAGAGGTTGTGAGACTCCCTCAGCATTATTTGTAACCAGATTTTCCTTCTATGTGCACATTGGGATGGAGGAGAGGCAGGTGGTGTGTTTTGCAGAAATCTTTGTTACTATAAGAAAGACTTGTGGCTACATCTTGAGAGACAAAAAGGAAAATGTGATATGGCATGTTTCTACTCTGTCTGGGGCGGGGAGTGTGTACATTGTTAACTGAATGGAGTTCAGTTCTTTTTATCCATGAGTTCATTCAGCAAATGTCTGTTAATAAAGGCTAACTCTTTTTCGAGTATCTACAAATTGCCAGGCACTGGTATTAGGCTCTACCTCTGTTATCTCAGTTCATACAACACTTTAAAGTAGATATTATCACCCATGTTACAGATAAGGATCCTGAGGTTTAAGGAAGCAAGTTGCTCAAAGGCACGTGGCAGAACTGTGACCCGAACCCAGACCAGTCTAACTCAGAAGTGTGCTATTTCCACGACACCAAGCTTGCTCCCCTCCTATGGGCCAAGCACTGTAATCAGCGCTGAGGATACTGAAGCGTTAAGACACGTGTTCAGGAAGAGCTCGTACTCCAGCAGAGGAGGCCTTCGGAAGAAGCGCAGAAGGCCCGGGGAAGAACCGTTACTGGTGGGTCCAGTCCTTTTTTTCTGAGAATCACTAAGCTGGTTTTCTCAGGTCTTTACTGAGTCACAGTAGATTGGCCAGGCTGCCTTCAGCGCAAATAGTTCACTAGAGAAGGGAGCTGAGATCGATGGCGTGCTTCCTCTGCTGTTGCTGGCCATGATTTATCTCAGCCACCCTATGAAGTGGGTGTATTTTCTCCAGTTAGCTCATGAGGAAACCAAGGCTCAAAGGGGCCAAATAACATAGCGAAAGTCACCAGCTAGTAAGTGGCTAAACTGAAGTGTGATGGATTCCAAAGTCTTCAGGACCCCTTGATCCGCCCGGGGGGCTGGATTTCAGCATCCTCACCGCCAGTGGAACTGTGTGTCTGTTGACTTCTCCTTTGTAGAAAGGATGCTCGTGATCACCTCATGCCTGATGGTCACTGACAGCAGTGCATTTGTAACAAGCATTTTTGCTCAAACCAAAGGGTCTTTGTGCAGCTTTTTTTTAATTTATTTTTTATTTTATTTATTTTTGGCGCGTTGGGTCTTCGTTACTGTGCGCAGGCTTTCTCTAGTTGTGGCGAGGGGGGGCTCCTCTTCGTTGTGGTGCGTGGGCTTCTCATTGTGGTGGCTTCTCTTGTGGAGCACGGGCTCTAGGCGGCAGGCTTCAGTAGTTTTGGCTCGTGGGCTCTAGAGCGCAGGCTCAGTAGTTGTGGCGCACAGGCTTAGTTGCTCCGCGGTATGTGGGATCTTCCCGGACCAGGGATTGAACCCGTGTCTCCTGCATTGGCAGGCGGATTCTTAACCACTGCGCCACCAGGGAAGCCCCGCAGCTTTTGCTTTTTTAAACCACCTCCTCCCACAGTCAATCCGTGTCAACAGAAGGGAAATGGAAAATGATGATTCTGAATCATTTGTGACATATAAAATGTTACCTTACAAACAAGCATGCTTCCCCAGGAGGTATGGCATATGGCAAGTCAGGTCTCCCTGCTCCCTGGCTTTTGATGAGAGAGTTTAGTTCCTCCTAGAGTCAATGCTCAATAAATAGCATTTGCTGCTGCTGCTAATAATAGTTTGTGGTCTTCATGTCACAAGGCATTTACTGAACTGTCCAGTGAAAGAGGGGACAGAAAAGGTCTGTCATTCTCCTGCCTCTTCCATTTTGACATCTCCCTAAATGGTCTTATAAGGCGTTGTGCTTTCTATTTTTTATTGGTTTTGAAAATGCAAAAGCAAAGTGGAGTAGCTGAACTTAGTGGCTGGAGAAGAAGAGGCCAGGGATCAGGATGGGGGGAGATCAGTTGGCGAGCTGGCCTATTAAAATTACTCCATTTTATCTCCACCACATGTGGTTCACTGATTATCTTGACTCTGCTACTACTGTTCTAGTAGAGATGATGAGAAAGAATAACCAAAAGGTGAGATGGTCAGTGGCTGTGAAAAAATACAGGGTGTAGGGAATTAGAAGGTGCTCTTGTTTTCCCCATCTTAGTTTCGAATCGCCAGACCAGACCCAGAGTCCAGGATTCAAGTGCAGGTAATTTATTTGGAAGGTGCAGGAACCATTGGTAGGGAATTGGGGAGGATGAGCTGGAAAGGGGAAAAGACCAATAAAGGGATGTGTTATCAAGCAAGCTGATACTGTGATGACTGGAGCTTAATCCCACTGGTGAACCCTGAGAAATAGTGGTGTAGAGCACACGTGTCAGATTTATCCACTGTTCCCGCATCCCACCAGGGGAGGAAGTGGGGATATTTATGCACTGCCTTCTGAGTGTCAGTGGTTGAGGGCTGCTCCCATAAAGTGTGCTGGGCACACAGAGTGGATTCTCCAGCTTGGGAGAAAAGCTCTCAGGCAAAGAGATGCAAATGCTGGCAGTCGGAAGTCCACCGGTGTGCACTGAAGTGGAAAGGCTTACGGATGTGGGCTGGGTACCAACAACATCCACTATGTTCCCTTAAAACAAAACAAAACATTCAGTCCTCCCGCAGGGTTCCCCATATCATTAAACGTACTGCCATTTACTCAGCTTCTCATGCTAAAGACCTTACAATTTTCCTTGATACGTTTTTTGGTTTTGTTTTGTTTTGTGTGTGTTTGTTCTTGCCGCACATTCAGTCTATCCCCAAATCCTGTGAATTCCATTTTCAAAATATATCTGAATCCTACTACTTCTCACCATCTCCATCATCATCTTTCACTAGATTTCTTCTATAGCTTTCTAGTCTGAATTTTTATTTATATTCTCATCCCCCATATGGTACCCAGAGTAATCTTTTTAAACTTAGATCACTTTACCCCCCCCCATCACAAAACCATCCAGGGGTCCTTTTTACTCTTAGAATAAAATCTGAAGTCCTTACCATGTTCTACACCATCTGGCTCCTGGCTATATCCCTGACTTCAGTTTCTATCCACTCACTCACAGTGCTCCAGCCAGATTGGTTTTCTGGCTGCATTCCTACCTCAGGGCCTTTGCACTTGTTCTTTCAACATAGCAAACTACTCTGTATGTTCATGTCACTCAATCAGTTTATTCAGATAGTTGCTCAAATGTCACCTTTGTAGGGAGCACTTTTTAAAATACCCTATCTAGAAAACAGACTTTTCTCGTAACCTGGTTTTATTTTATTTTTTTCCATAGCCGTGATCATGACCTGGCTGAGTGTAGTTTATGTTTTTATTTATTGCCTATTCCTGAATTAGAATATAAGTGCTATCAGTGGGGCGGACTCTGATTTGTTGCACTACCCCCAGCCTGGAGTAGCACTAACACATAGTAGGTATTCAATAAATATTTGCTGAATGAATGGATTAATAACTGTTTAATGGTCCTGCTGAGATCAGTCAAGAACTTTCAGAACAGACAGCGGAAATTACAAACCTTAGTTTGATAACTGCCTGCCTGCATCTTTTCCCTGAGCTGTCTCTAATGAAAAACACACACTCTGGGGCTTCCCTGGTGGCGCAGTGGTTGAGAGTCCGCCTGCCGATGCAGGGGACACGGGTTCGTGCCCCGGTCCGGGAAGATCCCACATGCTGTGGAGCGGCAGGGCCCGTGAGCCATGGCCACTGAGCCTGCGCGTCCGGACCCCGTGCTCCGTAACGGGAGAGGCCATAACAGTGAGAGGCCTGCATACCAAAAAAAAAAAAAAAAAAAACCACACACACTCTTAGCAGAGTCAGTTGAAGGTCCTGGGGCTACTTCCAGTATGTTCTTTCTTGAATCCATTGCAAATCACAACTTGTTCATTTTTCTTTTTGTTTGACTCTCTGAGAACAATAGAGAGAAAATCAAGATCATCAGTGTGCTACATGTATGGTAGTGGGGACAAAGTGTAGCCTTGTTCTTTAATAAACTAGAATGCGAAGTTGGTCATTTCATGCCAAGTTCCTGGCATGTAGTGGATGCACACTGCATGTTGAGTGAATTGACAGTATCATCCCTTTGACATTTCTGCTGCTTGTTCTGCAGAAGATATTTCATTTTAAGACCCACACTCTTAAAGATGCCAGAAAGTGGGGGGACTTCCTTCATCACTGCCCCCATCCCAGAAAACCCTGAACTTTAGCCACACCCATCTCTTCTCATACATACCCCCCCGTGATCCCCAAAATAGTAGAGTCAGTTCTATCTTTTGTGTGTAGTTTAAAACTATTTAATTTAGTCCATTATAAAAATAACGCAGGCTCATTTTAGAAAAGTTTATAAATTTTTTATAAAAGTAAAAGAGAAAAGGGAGAAAAATAACGCATCGTTCTATCACCCAGGGATAACCAGTGTTAGTAGGTGGACGTATTTCCTTCCAGTGTTTTCTATGTATATTTTTGCACAGTTTTTTTTTTGTTATTTTGTTTTTTTGGTTTTTTTTTGCGGTACGCGGGCCTCTCACTGTTGTGGCCTCTCCTGTTGCGGAGCAGCAGGCTCCGGACACACAGGCTCAGCGGCCATGGCTCACGGGCCCAGCCGCTCCGCAGCATGTGGGATCCTCCCGGACCGGGACACAAACCCGTGTCCCCTGCATCGGCAGGTGGACTCTCAACCACTGCGCCACCAGGGAAGCCCTTTGCACAGTTTTAATATACAGTTTATCTGTCTTTTTTACTAACATCATAACATAAGCATTCATTCGTAATATTCAACCCTTTGTGCACATCTTTTTATTATTATTATTTTTTAATTTATTTATTATTTTTGGCTGTGTTGGGTCTTAGTTGCTGCTCACGGGCTTTCTCTAGCTGCGGCTAGTGGGGGCTACTCCTCTTTGCGGTGTGGGGGCTTCTCATTGCAGTGGCTTCTCTTGTTGCGGAGCACGGGCCATAGGCATGCAGGCTTCAGTAGTTGTGGCTCATGGGCTCTAGAGCGCAGGCTCAGTAGTTGTAGCGCACGGGCTTAGTTGCTCCGCAGCATGTGGGATCTTCCCGGACCAGGTCTTGAACCCGTGTCCTCTGCATTGGCAAGCGGATTCTTAACCACTGCACCACCAGGGAAGCCCCTGTGCACATCTTTTTAAATAGCTGTGCAGTATTACGTTTCCCTGTTGTAGACCATTTTGCTTGTTTTCTATTTTTCATTATAAGTAATGCTGGGATAAACATCCTTTGACTTGTATCTTTGCTGGCATTGCTGATTATTTCTTTGGGATAGAGTCCCAGAAAAAAAAAATCACTAGTTCTAAGGATACAAACTCTTAAGACATTTTGTAAGATTTCATTTTGATTTCTAAAACTGTTTGGATGTGACTTCCATAGAAGAGCTCCAGAAAAGCAGTTTGCCTCTGAGAATTTACTTCCAGTTTTGAAACGTTTCGGACCCAGGCTGTTTTAGCATTCAGTTTCAATGAGCACAGAAATCTTCTGTAGCCTTCTCCACTGCAGGCCTCTTCCCGCTCTAATAAAATGCAGCAAGAGCATTATAAAAATCGTTCTTTGGTAAACAGCCTCTTTTTGTGTTCTCAAGGATTGTTTTCTGAAGTCTTTCTGGTGGGTATTGTAGTCACGTCTAGGACTACACGTAGTATTTTTGCATGCCTGCTCATGACGTCTTAAGGGTTTACTTATGCTTTTATGTTGTATTCATTGCCAAAAGGAAGTCCAGATTTCATGGCAGTGAAACCCGCTTCTATAAGTCTGTCTGAGTCCAGCCTGAAAGGCCAGGACTCCCTTGTCAGGGACTGCTTTTGGTAACATCATAGGAGTAAGGCTGGAAAGGGCCTTGCCAAAGATGGACAGTTTATAGATAGAGAGAAGCCATGGCTTTCATAGATAGGATGGGTAGGCATTATATAATATCACGATATCCAGGAGACATAATATCTGGAAGAGCCAAGGGTTCTAGGATGGTTTGGAAAGTTATGGTACAGCCATCTACATAATCTCATGCATGCAACCTTATTAAGCAGAATGAACCCAGCATCTCTGTATTGACCTGAAAAGGTGTCCAGGCTCTTTTGTTAATTCTAAATAGTAAGTTGTAGAGAAATATATATGGTTTGATCCCATATTTGCAAATAAAGGCAAAAATTGGGTTCCAGGTAATCTTGAATATCTACATGAACCAAAAGAAACATGTGGAGGGACACACATGAGACTGTTGGTAACTGACTACTCAGGAATGTGGAACTGGATTATAGAAGAATGAGGAAACCTCTTCTTTGCACAACTCAACTGAATAGTGTATTACAAAGAGCAGGTATTACTTTTATAACTTAAAAAAATGATGAAAGCTAAAGAAAGAAAAAAAACACACTGGAGAGGAATGGACTGAGAAGGGAAGTTCATTCAGGAGCTAGTTGACAGGTAGGCGCTGCGCAGGGTTGGGGTCCCCCTCTTGGCGAGACAGGTGCAGCCCCGTAGAAAGGCCAGGCTTCCCAGAAAACTGGGGCTGGGTGGGCCGTGTCCTTCCACTGGCAGCTGTTAGAGAATCGACGGTGTTGGCGTTCACCTGCGATATCACACTTGGAAAGGCTTCTGGAAAAAATAACCGGAATGATCCAGACAGAGGCAGGAGTTACTGTCCTTCCTCTGGAGGCTTGAGGGAGGGTGTCTAGGAGCAGAGAGGCAAACAGCCATTAAAAGCCCCAGAATGGAAAAGATTGATTCAGCCTCAGCCTCCTAGCGCACTTCCTAGCCATCTGTGAGACGGGCCCCAGGCTTTGAACTGGAGACAGTGCCCAAGCCTTTTATTAACCTTCTTCCCTCGGGAGCCGGGGACGAGGTGTGTGTCTTTGAAGAGTGGTGGCTCAGAAGCGACACGGCTTTCAAACATGATTTGTTTTTATTCTATTGGTGAATTAGGGTGTGTTTACAGGGAAAGAATGATTTAGACGACGACCAGTCTGCTGGAAATATAAAGGGATAATTGAATCTGCAAGTCTATTAAAGAGTCTTGTCTTGCATCTTGTGGGATGACATTTATTGCAGAGACCAACTTGGCTCTTGTTTTTCAGTTTCTTTTCTTCCCTTTCTCCCTTTCTGATCTTTCAAAAATTAGATTTTCCCTTCCCCCAATCAGAAACTTTTTGAAAAGCCTCTGAGGAGAGTCAGGACCCCTGAAAGGAGCACATCGAGGCAGCATCGCGTGGCAGTTTGGCGCGGGGACTCTGGGAGTCGGCAGGTGCCTGACACCCTGCGGTAAGTGCCTGGTCAGTTGTTACCATCAGAATCTCTGTCATCCCCAGTTCTGACACCAATTGCTCTGTTTCCTTGGGCAAATTAGTTCATTTCTGTGGTCCCCCTGTTCCTCCCATGCCAGCGGAGCCCTCGACAGTTAGTAACTCCAGCGAAGCCTGAAAACGCAACACAAGCAGTGCAAAGGCAATGCCAGTGATCAAAAGAACCCACCCCGCTTGCTATGTAGACGGATAATATCATTTCACTGGGGACCGCTCTCAGTAAGTGGGCTCTTTTTTCTCTGAAGAGCCTGAATCTGTTCCTCAGGGCTGCTAAAACTGGCCTTGTTCTGCGGTCTGATCTGCTGGCCGACCTGTGTCTACATTACTAAAACTGGCCGGGAGCCCTGGCACCGTCCCGCCACGTGGGCCGCCAAATCGCAAGGCCCTTTCTTTTGAGCAAATAGCATCGCACACGTTGCCATCAAGAAAACGAAAGCATTCACAGTGGCACAGCGTCCAGCTTCTCTCTGTGGCCTTTTGAAACAGTTTTGTGACCAGGGAGTGGCAAGAAACAAAGGTCTTTCTATCTGATCTGCTCACCAGGCCGGCGTCAGATCATGCAGGAGCCTGCACCCCTCTTCCCCCGGTACCATCGGATTGTTATCGCTGCGCTTGTCTCCTCTCTCTGAGTAGGACGAGGCAGGCAGGCAGGCAGAGGAATGTATTTCAACTGCCCTTGACTCTGTTTATAATCATCAACATGAAAGGAAGGGAAAGAGATTCAGTTTATAGGACTGGCTCTTTGTGTAGCCTAATTTATCTCTCTCCAGCAGCAGTGGGCTGAGCAGGTTTCCTTTTTTGTTTCCGATGCGGGAAGCTGAAATATGAATCTATGTTGATGAGAGAATAAAGGAATTGAAAGAGGCATAAGTCTTATCTTCTCGCAACCCTAGGAGATCAGCTCTTTGTGACGAAGGGGATTATACTTCTGTAATTAACTGCTTTGCAGCTCCTGGTGATGGCTCAGGCCTGAATAATGGCACCCAGAGAAGTTGGATAAAAGGCGGGCAGGTGGGTGCAGCCACGATCATGAACAACGGTCTCAGGGCTTGACATCCTTTCCCAGCGCCCAGCTCGCAGAGGGTCAAGCCAGGAGATATTTGTCCCCTGTCCCAGCAACATTCACAGCAGAGAGAATAGAATTCCAGAACAAATATTTAAAGCTCATAGAGACCTGTTCCTCTGTAGGCTGGTAGCTGCCCTGAGGTACCTTGAAGACCTAAGCCAGGCTGTACACCCTTTGTGTTCCCGCCAGTGCCCGGGACCTGGTAGGTGCTGACCAAAGCTTGGTGAAGGTGACTGCCCCTTTCCAGCTGTGGGATTTGGGGAAAGTTGTCTAATTTCTCTGATCTTCAGTATACCATCCACAAAATGCAAGGGGTCTTGTAGAGTTTGGGGTAAGAAGAGTTCAGATCATGATAAACAAATGACTTATCACATCGCCTGGCACACATGGCAAGGGATCAATAAATGCTAGCTGTTATTATTACATTGTGGAATACAGATGGGTGGCGAGCTCATCACTGTTTACGACTGCCTTATCATGCAAGGCGCCATACATACCTTCGTGCCTGAAAGCCTCACATCGTCCTTGTCAGGTAAGCAGGATCCTTCCCCCCATTTCACTGATGACAAAACAGGCTCAGACTGGAACAGTGACCTGCTCGAGGTAAAGGGCAGTACAGGAGACTGGAAGCCGGGTGTTCTGTCCTGGGCCCCTCCCCTCCCCTCCACACCAGCCTCCCAGGCCCTCAGCCTGTTCCTCGACAGGTGTGTCTGCCCATCACTCTCCAGACCTCATCACCCCAGGATCAAACCTCTGGGCCATCTTTTTGCTTCCTTTTTTGCTCCCTGCCTGTGTCACTGAGTCCTAGAGATTCTTGAGATGTTTTCAGAACTTCTCCCTACTCAATCCTGCTGCCACTTAACACTGGCCCAGCACCTGGTCGTTTGATAACCAGGTTTCCTACAGCGAGCAGGCTCTTGAGTGGTGTCTAAGGGAGGGCGAAGCTCCCTTCCCATCACCCCCGACACCAGTGCCAGGTGAGTGGTCCCAACCTCCACTTCCCTGTCCTTCCCTGCGAGGGATCAGCGCCCACAGCGTCAGCTCCACCGTCCTTTTCTGGGATGCAAGGCCCTTCAGCTGACCCACCCTCACTCGCAGTGAGAACCCCCTGCTCCGGCTGAGCCTGCCTTGTCTCCATCAGGTAGGCACCCCACAGCCTCTCTGAGCGCTCAATGGATTAGATCCTTGATAAGGATGCAAATGCCCCAGAGAGGATGCTCCATTCAATGCATAGGCAGTGCTTGACAGAGCCATGAACAGAGAGCTCCTCTCTTCCATCCACCCACGCGGTCTACAGATGGACCCTGAGGCCCAGTGGCTTAGCCAAAGCCACACAGTGAATGAGTTTCAGAGCCAAGTCTCACACCTAGGTCTTCTAGCTTAGAATTCAGTGCTCATCCGTTAGACCAATCGACTGCATTGCCCTCAGTGGTGATGGCAGCCACTGGCCAGAGTGGTGGCGGGGGCACCTGAACTCAGTCTCCACGTGGGCGGTGGACCTGTGTGATTCACCAAAGGGACGGCCTGATGAGGGAAAACGACTGAGTTAGGCCCTGGGGCAGGGCTGTGGTGGGCAGGATCTGGGGGGTGGGGGAGACAGGGTTGGAGACTGAAATCTAGGGAGATTGTCATGGAAATCAGCGATTGTAAGGCAGGTGAAAATGCGGCTGTATACTGGCCCGGCAATGTGCTATGGGAACGTAGCAATTAACTTCTCTACTTATGGGAGATGGGATCCAGGAGGGCTTTGGGGAAGAAGCGGCCTGTGACTTGGGTCTGAAGAAGCAGGAGGAGGCTGTTCAGGGGCTGTCAGGGGCCAGGCGTTCTGCATTGAGGGAGCAGCGTGGACAGAGGCAGGGAGGCCGGACAGCCTGGGCTGTACGTGGTGAATAGCACAGCGGGCAGCAAGGGAACCTGGAAAAAAGCAGAGGAACCTGAATTGAAGCTCTGACTCTGCAGCTAGTCTGACCAGCTCAGGATCTGGACAAGTCACTTTATCTTTCTGGATCTTAGTTTCCTTATATGTGAAACTGGCATAACGATATTATCTGTCTCCTGAGGGTTATAGTGAGGATGAACCAAAACAGTAAGGCACCAAATACAGGGCCTGGCACATAGTAGGTGCTCAACAAAAGGCCCAGTATGGCCGGAGGGTAGGTCCTGTTGGAACACAGGGACAAGCAGGGGTTTGGGCGATGGTGTATGTTTTCTTTTGCCTTCCGATGGGCCCTTTCCCCTCCTTCCAGGGGCTCCCCAGCTGGCCTGGGAGGGCTGCTCACCCACTTAGAGTTGCCAACATGTTTGGCCATTCTCGGGTCCAGAACGATCTTCTGGTTCCATCATCGTCCTTAAGCTCTTTCCAGCCTGAACACAACTGGGGCTAGCGTTCCAGGTCTGGTCATGTTTGCTGGCAGAGCCCGTGTTTGGGAGCGACAGCTCTGTTTAGGTAGAAACAGACACTGAAAACAGCTGCTGGCTTCTCTGCCTTGGTAAACACGGAGTAAACCCTGCCACTCTGGGCTTTGCGAGGGATCAGGGAGCACAAGGCAGGCCCTACTCACGGCGTCCTGTGGGGTAGGGGAAGGCCATCTTTTCAGCAAGTGTGCCAGCCTCCTCAGGCTGGGGCCAGGTTTAGGGGTGGCGGTGGGAGGAGTTAGAGGCCCTTCCTTCCCTCTTGGCCTCTAGGTGTCAGAGGACTCTCCAGGCACTTCCTGCCATCTAATATCTGTGGGACTTCAGGTCAATTTTTCAACCTCTCTGGATGGGCCAGTCAGCAAAGGCAATACCTGGCGTGTCCCTGTATGCTGTTCCTCTTCAGTGAGTGGTGGCCAAACTTACCTATGCATCAGAATCACCTGGGTGAGGCTAACTAAACATTCAGATACCCAGGCCCTGCCCCAGACTTACTGAGTCAGAATCCCTGAGGGCAGGGCCCAGGAACCTGCATTCTAATGACCTCTCCAGGCGATTCTGGTACAGGCATCCCAGGAACGATATCTCCATAATCTCTGTCTGAATTCCACCAGGTTCCCTGGGGAACCAGGAGAAAGAGGCAGTTAGAAGGGGGGGCTAACAGGTGATGTCAACACACCACTCCTCTTCACACGTACCTCTGCAGTTACGCTTTTTTGGCATTGGCGTAGAAACAGAAGCTCTTAGATGTATGTCTCCTTAGAACAGATGCCATTACTCTTCTAGGATATAAAAGAGTGATACCCCATCCATTAGACTTAGCCCATTTCCAGTCCATCCACCCATCCTCCATCCATCCATCCATCCATCCTCCATCCATCCATCCATCCATCCATCCACCCATCCTCCATCCATCCATCCTCCATCCATCCATCCATCCACCCATCCTCCATCCATCCATCCTCCATCCATCCATCCATCCATCCACCCATCCTCCATCCATCCATCCTCCATCCATCCTCCATCCATCCATCCATCATCCATCCATCCATCCATCCATTCATCCTCCATCCATCCTCCGTCCATCCATCCATCCATCCATCATCCATCACTTTTTTAGTACCTGCCTGTTCTGTGCCTGGCTCTGGCTGGGCTTTGGAGACACAGGGAAGAATAAGATCTGGTTCCTGGCCAGAATTCCCCATCTAGATAAATAGACACACAAGTCATCCTAATATAGGGGGATCCCTCCAATAAGCGATGTCTCAAGTAGGTACAGGGGTGGCACAAGGCAGGAATGATGGAGTCCACGGGCATGGAGGATGGGTCAGAGAAGGCCTCACAAGACAGCAGTTTGTGAGGAGGTCATGAAAGGGAGTAGGAGTTTGCCAGATGGAGAGGCCGTGTGAGGGTGTGTAGGAAGGTAGGTGACTCCTATGAATGAAACCCCTTCACATCCATTATGAGAGCAGAGGCCTCTCTTTGGGCTCCATGGAGCCCACATTCTGACGCTCATATGCAGCTGCATCTTCAGTCTCATCTTCTGGTCCTTCAGAGTGAGAAGAAACCACTCTGTGGTGTGTGTTGCAGGCTCATGGCAGCTGTCTCTTACACAGCGCAGTTGTTGTGGAAAACAGCCATCCGAGTTGAGAGGCATGGTATGCTTAAGAGCATCCTAGCTCTGCCTGCAACTCACTAGGTAACTGAGGGCAGGTCCCTGAGCCTCAGTTTCCCTGTCTCTAAGATGGAAGGTTGGCTTCCAGTTCTGCCAGTTTCTGCCTGGGGCACGGCCCCGACACCCTGGCATCGATATACTTGTTAGCAATGGCCTTTCTTCCCACTCCAAGCTCATCTGTCTCAGCATATCAGCAGCACAACATCTTGCAGGATTAGTGTATCGGATTTGAGCCCCCCGCATATTCCCTGCAGTCCAGAAGTGGTTTTGCAGGGAAAATGCAAGGTGGATGTAAGCCTGAAGGTGGCGCTGTGGCTCCAGTTGCGGAGCTGCTCTCTGGAGCAGGTCTGTGTTTTCAGAGCATCTGTGCAAATTGTGCCCGGTTGATGGCAGGTTCTCTTCTCTCATGGAGCCCTCACAATCCGGCATACCCTGCTCGTTTGAAAGAAGCAGCCAGGCCAGCTCACTCGGGCCTCCCCGCCTCCTGGGCCCCTTCACACATCTTCAAACCTCCCTGTTTCCCTGTGGGTCCTCCCTTCAGCAGAGGAGGAGGAAAGCCTATTGAGAATGGCTTGTGGGCGGAGCAGGGGTCTGCGCCGGAGTTTTTCTGGTGCTCATTGCAGGCAGCAGGCCCTTGGTGTGGAGCTGCTGTGGGGTCTGTGACATGACTTGCTGTGTTTGGGTCACAGCCTCCTTGACCCGCATCCCGACCCCCGACAGTGGATTTCCCCCGGGGTGATGATATTTTGAAAGCACTCCATACTCTTCCCGCTGCTGCCTTCTCTCCATTCATTTGGGTTCGCTTTTTAGCTGAGCCACTGAATAACGAATCCAGCGGGAGAAAATGATGGGGGCAAGAGGAAGGAAAGAGGAGAGCGCTAACATTTATAAAGTGCTCGCTGGGTGCCCAGCACCTCCACCAAATAACTACAGCCGCGAATTTTATACTTTCAGCTGCATCACCCTTTCCTCCAACCAAATTCACAAGCCAAACTTGCCACGTAAACCAGACACAGCAGGGGAGCTGCTCCAGTGGGACGGGTGGGGCACCAACGGGCCCTGCCCCTCACCTCCGCATCCTCTCCCTTCCTCCCTCCCAGCAGCCCCTCTGGTGCTTCCACCAAAGCTGGATCTAAAGCACTGTGCACCTTAATCTGTATATAACTCTTAAGAGGAAACAGTCCCCTCATTTTTCAAACGTAAAAGCTGCCGCCCAGAAGAGTGAGGTGATTTGCCAGAATCCTATGATCAATAAAAGGCAGACAGCCAGGCTGTGGGCCCAGGCATGCCTGACTCTAAGCCCCCAACTCTGCCTGGAAGACACTGGGTGCTCTGCTGCCTAAGGAGGGACAGGAAGAGGCGGTGGCTCACCCCCCCCCCCCCCCCCCCCGCCCTGCAGTAGACAGCGGACCAGGCCAGATACAACGGACGCGGTTGATGCCAGATATCTGGTAAACCGCCTGCAAAGAAGGAACCCAGATAGGACGGGAGGACCGTGGAGGATGGGAAACACATGCGGAGTGGGTTCTGCGGCACCGGGGACACGATCGTTCACCCCCCAGGCACGCTTCAGCTTGGCTGACTTCAGAAGACACCAACGAGCCATGTGCTAGACATTCACAGTCAAGCTTTCCAGGCCCTGATCAGACTGTTTCGTTCCGGAGCAGCCAGGATTGGGGGCGGTAAAATGTGAACTGGATCTCGTTCCTGCTTTCAGGTGGAGGGGAGATCGTGCAAGAACAGCAAGACGCTTAAAAAAGAACAAAATGTGAAGTCATGTGTTCGCTTGGAATCTTGTGAGGAGCATGGATTTGGAGTCAGAAATCTGTGGGTTCCAAGGTCATCTCTACTGGTTTGACCTGACTTCTCTGAGGCTCAGTTGCCTCCTTTGTAAAACGACATCACCAGCAGTGCCTGTGTCTCCA